GAGAGAGAGAGAGAGAGAGAGAGAGAGAGAGAGAGAGAGACAGACAGAAATGAGACCATCCCAATGCCACTGAGGGGGTATGTGTGTGTGAGTGGGTGGGTGGGGTTGACAGTCCAAGTATTTAGAACTTTGAATGTTATAGATCTATTATAAAACATTTCCTGACACTCCTCAAATGTTGGTCTTCTGGTTTATTATCATGCTAAAATCTATTTCATTTTTGCAAACTAAAGTTGGTTGATCTTATTTAAAAGTTTGATCATTCTCTTTTAATCTTTAACTAATTCTACTCAGATAAATCCATTTTTAATGAGTCATTCAACTTGTGTCATATTATAATGATCCATTGTCATGATGAGAAACCCATTTTCTCTTGCCTATTTATTTTTTAAATACTTTTTTTAGTGGGGGGGGGGGGGGGGGTGATATTTTAGTTTAATCTTTTATTCATATGATATGATATTTTGATTACTTTAAAAATACTAAATGTGTCTAGGCGTGGTGAAAGGTCTTTTGTTCCCTGTTGCAATCTGTGGAGATCTCCCAGAAGATGGGGAGGAGGTTCGGGGGTATTTTATATTGGTGCTTCTCAATGGTAACTTTAAGTATGACAGATAAACACACTGTCTGTGGTCTCCTCGTTAGGTGATTGGCTGTCATCATGCTGAAAACAGGAGTTCAAAACTTTTGTAGAATAACAGTCTTTCTGCTGCTGGGGTAATGTATGCATAACAGGTAGTATCGAAGCCTACCTCCTAAATAATCTAAATTGTATTGATTGGGGTGTAAAAGCAAACATTAAAAAACATTTTTAAGGATGACGGAAGTTCACAGAGAAGTGTGATTTTATATAATAATGTGTTAGTGCAAAAGTGTGTCTTTTTTTTTTGTAAGTGTTTTACCGCGTTCGCAACTGCATAAGTTAATACCTGCGCGGGACACACCAAACATTTTCAGTTGGTAGGAAATTTTGAATTTTGCCCAGGTGGCGGCCGAAGCCTACTGTTATATAATCGATTTCAGACCACCAAGGGATCTTTAATGTGTATTATAACTTGCACACGGGACCTCTGAGATATAAGGGGTGTGGCTGAAAGACAGGAGTTAGGAGCTATGGAGTAGAAATAGAAAGGCTGCAGAAAGAGTCAGGAGCCCAGAGGGGGTCAAGGAGGTGAAGGGGAGGGGGCAGAGAGTGGAGACGAAAGCAGAAAACAGATCATTGCTAGAGAGCAGGAAAGAAGGTGAAAGGAGACAATTTTAGAGACAAAACTTTTTCGGTTGCTACCTGGACATGAACCCGCGACCTTTGAACGAGAGGCGAACACCTTAACCTGTAAGGCCACGAGAGCTCCCAGCGTATTCAGGTGAGTGAGCACACATATTTAAGTCTATAACGACTTGCGAAAAGCTTGATTTACAAAATACGCAGACTCCAAACTAACATATATATACACAAATTAGATAAAAATAATACTGTCAACATTTTTCAACAAACTAAAGAAGAAAGAATGGCATCATATAGAAAGACTAATTAATAAAAGTGTACAAGGACAGTTGAAACACGGATAGAAATGGGTGAAACAGAGAATGGGTGGTTAGCGGGTGCTTTGCGATGTTTGCTTGCTTAACTCCTTAATAACTATTATTATTAATTTGCAGCAAAAATGAAGGCCATATATTCGTGTTCAGCATGCAAAATACTAGATTCTACTACTACTAGATCTAGATCTAGATGTAGAACAGAAGTATATAAAACGTGAACATGAGACGGGTGCATAAGTAAAAAAAAAACCTTTTCCTTTTCACTGTATGTTACTCTTTGTGGTAAGATTGAAGAATACTGGACCAGCGGACTGACTTTGCCTGTCTCAACCTTAGGAATGCATAATTTTCCTGTTTTTAATATCTCTCAATGGAGAATCTCGGACCGGTAGATCTATTCATTCAAATTTTGTCAGGGGGAGACCCCCCTGAACCCCCCCTTCCTCCTCCACCCGCCCCACCTACCCCACATTCTTGCGCAATAATGTACAAGTAGTCCGGAATTCTTTAATCTTCCCCTCTTTGTCTTTAGAAACACCTAATCTACGGCACGTATATTGGTAGTATATTTAAAGATTAATATAAAAAATAATGCACTGACTAGCCTATATCATCTAACTAGTTAAACTAGGCCTACTGTTAGAGATCTGTGATATAGATCTAGATTTAGATCTATATGCTGCCAAAGCATATATAATTTTATTATATCCAACACCACATAGAATCTAGATCTAGATCTAGATCTACAAAGTGCAGAAAACTAGGAAGGTTGGTGATGTGTATGTAGATCTATATATTATATAACAACCCCGAAGTTTCACAAGGAGAAGATCGACTGAACTTCACAATTAGAAAAAAAGTGGTTCGTTAACATTGGTTGATTAGATTGGTATTGATAGCGATAGGAGGCATTTCTAACCGACAGAACTTGCAAAACTTTCTTCTTGAATTTAATTGCATCAGCTTATCTCAAAAGACATAAAAAGCGCTCGCCAAAATGTGTTGTACAAAGGCACCGCTACTTAGACTCTATCAACAATGATAGAATCTGTAAGCTTTCGGATCTCTACTATTGAAGCAGGGTAAAAGTAAATTTATTTAAAACATAAAATGTTGAAACAGTGAAACAGTCACAGCACAGCCACAGCGAACGAAAATAAAAAACAACCAATAAAATTAAAATAATGTAAATTGAGGATGATTGACAATCGCGAGCCGAACATTGATAGCCTAGTGTAGAACCTTACTAAGCCTTATTAGTGACTCTGAGACAGGAGAGGAGTGATGGTAGCTAGATTCTACTCACGGCTTCTGGGAGCTTGGCAGGACCGGCGGAGAAATTGATGATCCGTCTGCCGTTTTGTTCTTGATTTCTTTGATCAGCCATGGTTCTGTGTGTGTATGAGCTCGTCTTGATGCTCCTACGGGTATTTCTGACTAGCGAGAGGCCGAACAGGCGGCTTGCATCACAATTTATACTCAGCCTCATACTTTGTTTACATCGACCGATTGGTCAGGCAATGTCACCTAGTCTCATTTCATTGGCTCTTCCTCTAACAGGGCAGTTCGCGCAGGCGCACTGAGTCGCACGTGAACTGAGCATGCAGTGATTCGTCTCAGCAGACTTGCTATGTGGGTCACAAGGAAGGGCGAGGTAAAAGCTCTCAAGTTTGGAAAAATAGGAGGAAAATAACGAGTTAACTTCGGAATTCTATAAAACAAAATAGAATGAGGGTATTTCATCAGATTGGCTGATGCAATACAGTATACTAATAAGTAACAAGACAAAACACGGAAGCCTTTCAAGTTGGGCGAATGAAAAGCTGTCGATTTTCAACCCCGCCTCCCGACATCTAAATATGGAAGGTGTAGTAAAAGCCGGCAATGAGGCCAGTTGTAGCCTGTTACAAATATGGTTAAAATCTACAAATATGGAAGACGGCCCTGACAGCTATGAATGGAGTGATTGGATAGCGGGAGTCGATAGAGATAAGCGAACAAAACAAATCTCAACGACTGGAAACGCGGTGTAGTCGAAGGTTAGAAGTTATCTAGATTTAGATAATAACTTCACAACTACATAACGGGGGAAATATTGGATCAAAGTCAAAGCGTTGGCAATTTCCTCTCACCGCACAACGAATGCACCGCGGATGGTAGGACATTTTGTTGCTTCCACTCGGCGGCTCTCGACATAGATCTAGATAGCACTAGCCTTGCACAGTTGATGTCACTCACCGATTTACGGTAGCGTTTCGGATCACGGAAGTTAGCCGAATCAATGTTGCAGTAATTCGTGATTATCTTGTGGTGTTTATTTGACGCAAGCTTGCAGCAAAACGATTTCTTATCCTTCTATTTTCTCTCTTATCCACCCCTTTTTTCTGCATGTTTTTAATCATCTGTTTAGGGCATTCTATTTTTTGAAACCGTATTTAATTTTTAATTACCTCATACTTCTTTTGCGGCAGGAAAGAAAGGAGGAGAGGGTGTTTACGAAAGCAACGTAATTTCAGGGTCAGGTTTATTTTGCACACAGTGACAGAGTAAATCGCAGCGGATGTTTTCTGATGAAATAGGCCTACC